AAAGGTAGCAAATTCTTCTCAATTATTTTAAGACCTTGAGTGTTGGTCCAGCCGGGGCTCGAACCCTCGACCTCCCGCACAAAAGTCCAGCGCACTATCTATTGGGCTAACTTGGCGGCGGTTTCGCTCTAAGATCTCTCTGTGATTGGTCCAGAAAATTGCGCCACTCTTTCAACCAATCAGATGCCAAACTCATCCTGATCACGACTTGGTCACGCGTATCTTCCCGCGCTTTTGGCAGTTTCCATGTTTTTATTTCGAGTTCTCATTAGCTCTTTGGCGTACTTTCCTTTTTCTGATTGGCCAATTAACGCGATTACTTTGGTTTCGGTTCAGAGCGACACTCAATCGGATAGCGCTCTAACAAAAAGGTAAACACGTGTTCATTGTGGATCTGTTTTCTTCTAGGCCATGCACAGGTGGATGAACCAACGGGACCATGCAGATGGAAGAGCAAACAGTGGGATCAGCCTGACTTGCCAACGTCTTTCTCACTCACAGACCAAATCGAGCACAAGCTGGCCTTCTTGGCTTACTACATCCCCGCACACTGCAGAGTCATTCTGATTGGCCATTCGATCGGGGCGTACATTACTCTGGAAATGCTAAAGCGATACCACGACAAGGAAAAAATTCTCAAGTGTGTCCTTCTCTTTCCAACAATTGAGCAAGTAGATTCTGCGCCTAGTGGGAAAATGTGGAAATTTATCTGCCACTATCTACACTGGCCCTTCCTTATGGGAACAGTTTTGGTGTCGTTTCTGCCTTCATTTCTTCAGAGGTGGTCCATAAACTGGTGGATGTACTTGAACAAGGTTGAAAACAAAGAGTCCATCATGGAAGCGGCGCAATCAATGCTTAATTACCGTACAGTTGATAACGTTTTGGAGATTGGACGCCAGCTCGTCACGATACGAGAATTAGACAACGATTGTATACGCGCCAATCTGGACAAACTTGTTTTTTTCTACGGGCTCGGCGATCCCTGGGTTCCACAGGGTTATTACGAGGCTATGAAAGAAAGGTTCCCGGAGGGCGACATAAAACTGTCACATGACAAAGACATCAAGCACGCTTTCGTGTTGGATACCTCGGAAAAAGTGGCAAAAATGGTGTGGGAATGGATTGAAGGATACCTAAGAGATTTAGAAGACGCTGAGATTATTTGTTGAATCTGTCACTTATATCATTAATCCCTGCCCGGATACTGAGCAAAATAGTTTTTCAACCGCGTGAGCAGCCAACGAAAAGGGTTTTCGAGCGAAACATTCATGAGCCCGCGGTGACGCGAAGTAACCCCTCATCTGATTGGTCCAAAAAAATCGAAGAGACTTCGGCTACTTTCGGAGGATTGCACCGATCGGGTTTAGACAGCAACGCTGCGTGCAAATAATTGTAGGTAGGAGTTAGTCACTCGTACCTAGCTTAACAGAAAAAAAAAAACTGCTCTAGGAAAAAACTAACAAAACAATGTGCGAACTACAATATTCTCTCTTTGTTCTTAACGTTACCCTACCAACGGTTTCTTTCAAAGTCTTCGCGATATACGGAGAACTGTTATGTCTTTGTGCAGGTAATTTAACTTTATTTCAAAAGCCACCGTTCCATATGGTAAATGCATATCAAAAATATAAAACCAGCTTGAAAAGGCAGACATTCAAACATTTACACCAAACGAAATAAGTAATATTTTCTGTTGATAGTATTTGCGTGCCAAGTATAATCAAATCTACATACTATAACAATCCAGTCTAAGGGGAAAATCTTATAGGGGTGAGTCCTTCGGCAAATCAATCCTTTTCTTCCTAGGTGCAAGACTTTTTTTACAGGGCCGTTCTGAAAACCACTTTTGTGAGAACGTACCTGTCTAAAGATTATTATTATTATTATTATTATTATTATTATTATTATTATTATTTTTATTATTATTATTATTATTTGGTGAAATTTTACTTTTTTAAGTCTACAAAGACAAATAAATATACGTGTATCCTGGTTAGTGTTGCAACGATTGATATATATATATATATATTTCCCATCGGATAAAATTAATTCGCTAAATATATTCATGAAGAACTGATTATAACCACGTTCTTTGCTTAATGACGATGTTATAAAACTTGAGGGTGAAATTGGCGCGGAATGGCAGAGTCCCTAAGGTTGTCAGTTCAGATGGTTATTCTGAGCGAAGTCCGTCGCGTAAAAATAATTCATTGGGGAAAAAAAATTGAAGTTAGTGTGCCGTACGGAACTCTGGGAGCGAGAGGAACGAAAAGTAGGGTCTCTACTTTTTGTACGCTCACTCCCAGGGCGCACCGACATTTTTTTCCCACTAATATGTTTTGACTCACACGATGGCCTTCGCTTAAGAGGAAGGACTGTTGGTATCATAAATCTTGAACTGGACTAATCGTGAAGTCTGTTCGCAGCGTAAACCTCTCCAGTGACGATAATCCACTCTTTATGTAATGTTTCCTTTTGTTAAGTTGAGTCTGATTCATCGCCGCTGTTGAACCGGGCAAATCTCCGTTCTGTGGTTCGCCTTCCTACAAGAAAATGTTTTAAAAATGTATCATATCTGGTATTGTGACTCTTTGTTGAAACAGGTTCTTTCAGCGATGCAATTAGAGGTACTCTTGCCTGATCTCCGTAAGAAAAAAAAAAAAAAAGGTCACGCGACTTTTCACTCGTGAGGTGTGCTCTAAATTACTAAAAATTGGTGTGATGTTGTTCACAGTGCAGAGGTATTCGACGTCACGCAACGTAACAGTATTGTTGCCTGATGTCACGCAATACTGTCCTACTTTGTCTTGTGTCCCAGTCCGTTTCACTTCCGCTCTCCAATGGGGCGCGGTTCCATGGGCGACTTCCCTGTAACTGAGGGGAACCAACTCGGTCAAAATTGACTTCGGTCTAAATTTGAAGAAAAAACAGGAAATGAAATGATGAGTAACTATGTTAAATAGACTGCTCAAAATCATAAAAAAAAAATCTCAAAAAATGATGCCTTACATCATTATCTGAGGAATATCCGTCAAAGTTCCACGACTTTTGCTGTCTTCCAAAGTACACCACGTCACTACGACTTGAAGAAGCCGAAGGGGGCCTGGAACTGTCCGGTTGTTCAGTGGTGAAAGAGCCACCCCTGAAAAGAACACATCAGAGAAAATACATGCAGGACATTTCGAAAAGAATTACATGACTTTTCCTTAATCTGAAATTTAAGATTTCACCTAGAGGCCAAGATAAGGTTTTGAGCTGAGGAGATGAGAACTTGAAAAAACCGGCCAGAGTTTTCACAGTCTTCTTACCTAAACATGTGTTTTCCCTTTACTGGAGATCTGCCTGGAGATCTACCTGGACTTTGCCACATGTGTTGCTGACCTTTTCGTAGGCTCGAGTCACCTTCAAAACGAACACAAAGCAAGACGGATAAAAAGAGAAATGACAGAAAACTGTCAGAAAACGTACAAGTCATTGAATTAGTTTGGAGTGGATTCCTTCAAAGCGCAAATTACTTTCAACGGGAGAAAAAAAAAAACAGAATCCAAGATAAGGAAACTCCAAACATGGGAGGAGACAACAAAAAAGATGGGTAATGGAAAGTAAATTATGAATCGCTTGTCTCACGATGTGCTCACCTATGATGAGAATAGTCCTTTTTACAATTTTGTGCTTGGTTGCCAAGCCTTTGAACGGGAGTGAGGCTAGAGGTGACCTTGTTATGATACAAACCTCGCTACCTTTCAAATGTAAATCACTTTGTTGTCATGCTAACTAGATACAGGTCTCTATCACAACAAGGTCACCTTCAGCTTCACTCCAAATCAAAGGCTTGGCAACTAAGTACACAACTGTAAAATGGCCTATTGCGACGTTTCGACTGCACACAGCTAGTCTTCATCCGGCGATAAGGTCGATTGGGTTTTGAGTCTTCCAATCACAGCGGAGTATCCTGCTTTCTACGAAGACCCGAAACAAGTCGCGATTCACGTCATAAATAACCACATCGCGAGACTAACGATTAAACTACTTTATTATTGTATTTTACCACGATGAACAACCACAACCTTTTTACAGAAAAAAAGATGGGATTTCTAAACAAATGACCAGGCAATTACTTTTGAAAGCGAATTAAAATTGCAAAGGAACGTCTTCATTTTACCAAAATTATGTACATAACAAAAATCATCTTACTTTCTGAGTCAAATCCTGAAGGCCACACAGGAGGTCTACTTCGTCCCACCTGAAAAGACAAAAGTGATAGGTTTAAGTTTTCTATTTGAAAATAATCCATTATAATCATAATGATAATGATGAAGAAAACAATAATGATGACAATGATGATGGTAAAACGAAAAAAAGCTTACTGTACTTCCAACTTGAGAAACACTTTCAAAGTTGTCGTCAACTAAGAAGAAATCAGACATGAAAAGATGAAAGGTAGAATCATTTCTTTTAGTCACCAGCTGAGCCTAGTTGTTCAAAGGCAGGGTTAAATTTTAATCTGGGTATCTTTATCCTTTGTTGAACTGCCTTTCTGGGGTAATTTTCTCTATTCATTGAAGGGCATCCAATCATCAAATTGCAGGGTTCGGCATCTCCGCTAGCCCGGTAGCCCGAGGCTAGCAAAAACTTAGTAAAAAAACCACGTTGAATAGCCCGCTGGCTAGTAGAAAAATTGAAAGAAATTATATATAATTAGTTTACTTGAAGTTCGCAGTTGATTAAAAAACAAGAAAGATTAAATTGTAATGATAATACTAATAAAGAAGGCATAACCCTTTCATCTTCTGGCGTCTTTTTTTTGTCTTGCGTGTCGATCGTAAACATCCCTAAATCCGAGACTCTGCGCTTAATGGTTAATGTCTTCCCCAGTCTTCTCCCTACCAACGTTGCGCATCGCTAAACACGATCGCTTCGCACTTGAAGCGATTGTACCTTTCTTTATCATTTTAAAAGACCAATAAGTTTTGAGGAAGATTTGCATGTTTGGGGTTGAAGCAGACCTCAGGGAAATTGATCCGGGCTACCAAGTTGTGTTTCGGGCCAGCAAATTTTAAGCATCACTAGTCCGGTGGCTAATAATGCGGGTAGATAGGTGTCGGGAACCCTGAATTGTAGACTAAAAAAAAAAACTGTACTGCATTTTCCTTTAAAGCTTTCAGATCTGAAATCAGATTTCACACTAACCCTGTGTTAACTTAAACCCAGGACACCCAGCTTTGAACAATGTACCCTACCCTGTGTTTAACATCCTTTGGCCTTTTGACCCCGTAAGAGTGACCAGTATCTAATTTCTCCTTACAATATCACCCCTGAATCCCTCATTAAGGTCAGGAGAATAAAAGAAATGATCAGCTACTAAAGAAGCTCTTGATTGTTACACATTGATACACTAACATCAAAGATAATCACAGTTAATTACAATAACCCTACAAAAAACCAAAACATCTGAGATAGAGAGAGAATTAAGAGCCATATCTCTCACCTTCACTTCCTGAATAAACACTTCCAACTGAAATGAAAAAATGCAGGTGTTGTTTTCATCAATTCTAAGGACAAAATGAAACATGCATGCACAATCCACCGACAAACCTTCTGACTTTTTATCACTTGCTTGACCAGTAATAACCCTGCAACAGAAATAGACATCCCATCTTCACCAAATGTTAGAACTATTGAATGATACATGTAGCTTAGGTAAATCAATGTGTAATAGTTTTAAAACATGGTATTTGTGATCCATTTTCACACCTGGGCCCAGCTATTAGCAAAATATGCTACCCTGTTCACTGCAGGTTTATCCAAAGAGGGGTCCTGTTGTGCAATCTTACAACAACCAGGACTTGAGTGAAGCACAAAAAAAAATTGACTTGATCCAGGAATTGAACCATACCCATTGATCCTTAGTTCAGCTCTTTGATTTTTGGGTCAGAAAAATTTGGCGAGAAGGGCCAAGTTAGTGTTAATTTGTCAGCTAATATCTTGCAGCCATAATAAATTTTAAAATCTAAGTTTTGCTTTACGTTTGTAACCACTGGTTACAATGAGTGTGGCAAATTTCACACCCAGTTTGGACATGTACAAGCCTTTCTGACACACCTGAATGACATCACCCTAAAATAGCAAAACATTCAAAATAGTTAAAAGAAATTTTCATTATCAAAGAACTTACTTGGCACATCTGGCACATATGCTTACTCGTATTGACTCTGATGTTCCTGTTCCTTGTCTGATGGACTGCCAGTAAAAAAAAAAATGTCAAGGTGCTTCAGGAAACAACCAAACTGTAAAGCTCTTTATTTCAGAATAGCAACCTAGTAAATGATTGCAGCTCCTGGTTAAGAAAGCCCTCTTAGCTTGTTACAAACTTGATTTTTCAACTAGATACATTGTACTTTACAAGGATTAAGGTCACTAACTCATATATTTTACCTTGGCAAGTCTTGATCCCTTGCTACTCAGTCTTGAAACCCCTTCAGACTCCAAATCATCCATATTTTCTTTAGAAAAAAAAATCGAACAGTTAACATTCCCAATGCATAACAATTTTGCAATTTGATCATGTCATCATTATGATCTTAAATTACCTAATAATTCTGTGCCATCATCATGAAGGTCTTCAGCATTATCCATCCCATTAACATCTCCCCCACTGTGACTCTTGTTCATGAGGAGAGATTGAAGTTGCCGGCGATGTTCTTCAGCTGCATGACGTGCTTTTGTTTTCCGTGACCTAGAAGACCTGTAAAAATATCATAAAATGCATTCAAAAGTCAAAAATACAGTTGTACTGTACATGTAAGAACTAAGCTTTTCAAAGCAAACAAGTGTTTACACGTCCTACGAACATTGAGAAAGGAACATTACTCTCAGGCAGAGATTGATTATCTTTTTATATCCATTATTTTGCCTAGTTTTAGCTATGCACTTTCAGTCTATGGGGCATCTGAGTCCAACCTTACGGTTGTACAAAATTTTTTAGACCGATGTCATAAACGCTGTTTTATCTCATTTCCTGTTTTCATCAAGAACCTTTCAAACAAACAAAACCGAAACATTTTGAAGAAACTAAAATCAACAGATTGCCACCTCCTGAAAGACATCATTCCTTTCCAAAAGACATATGTACACAATCTTAGGAAAAAAGGCTGCGCACGTCCAAAAATTAATATACAGCGCTTTATGAACACCTTTGTAAATAGGTTGATATTTAAGCTCCATTTATTGTAATGACATACTTTTTCATTTACAATATGTATGTAGATTTCTGTTGTAGTTCTTCCAAATTCATTGTAACATAAGATATCTAGTTTTATCTTATGATGGAATAAAGACATTATTATTATTATTATTGTATAGTTTCTGTTCATCATAAAGCCAATACAAGCAGAAGAAATAACTAGCTAACCATACAATTGGGTGGGACAATTCTAAAATTATCACCACTAGTTGACGTTACCACCAGCGCCTTTGTTTGAAAGCCTGGCATACCAACTCCACCCACACTCCTTTAAATCATTACAAGCTCCTTAAAATCATTAGATCACCCCTGATGAAGGCACTACACAGGAGTGTCAAAACGTTGGGTCTATGAATTGTAATTCCTGGGTTACATTCATTAAATTCTTAAACCAGAGTAGCATCAAACCATGTCTGATTGTCCACCTGGTTGCTTTGTGAACTTTAATAAAGTATCAGAAGAAACTTATCATGCACAGAACATTATTTTTCACTCTTACTCGTAGGATGCCACAGATGATGAATCATTTTCTTCTTCTCGGATTTTTATGTCCTTCCCCATATTGAGCTCATCTTCCAGATTATCATCAACATAGTTTACTGGACCTGATGATGCAGCCCTTCGGTTGTATATTACTGTCCTTTGTGCTGGCACTTCCTGCAAATTCAAAGTAAATGAAGAGGTTTCAAACCCCCTGCATAAAAAAGCCAGGTTCACAGTAAATCAGTTCTGGATTATACACTCAGTCAACAACACTTTGAAAAAAAATATTCTACTTCTAACTTAAATCCTTGAATAACTTGAATCCTCCCTATTGCTTAATCTCTAACCTCTGAGAATGCCTAACAATGCATTCCTACGCAAAGTACCACTGCTGACCCAAAAATTGAGATCAAGGAAATGATAGCAAACTAAAGATACTTTTGACTGTCAAACAAAATTTAATTCTGATAGTTTCTGAAAGAACTGCTTGGGGCTGCGTCAGTGGGGGTAACGAAATAATTTGAATATATCAACAAAGTTGAAATGGTAAATTGGCCACCGTTACGATTATAAATGCTGACGTTTCGAGCGTTAACCCTTCGTTGGAGCAAATGACGAGGACTAACGCTCGAAACATCAGCTTTTATAATCGTAACGGTGGCCAATTTACCATTTCAACTTTGTTGATATATTCAAATTACTAATTTAAAATGATTGTAATGTGAGAAAGAATGAAACTTCTCATTAAATGCACTACCTAACACTCCATCAAGACCTTGCAGAAGACGTAGAATATCAAAATTAACAACACATCGTACAGTCCTAATTTTATCCGTAAAATCTTAAGGTCAGGGCATTTCAAATACAATAAAGTTCAGAGTATATAAAGCATACTGGTGAGACCTGGTAAACTGTCTTTTGAGTAATGGATATAAAGAGATACAATTGTCTAATTAGGACTGTAGACTACTTTAAACAAAATTAAAACGAAAGAAGTCAGTAAATTAAAATTGAAATAATTTTACATCTAGTACATACCATTTCCCCATTTCTTCCCCATGATGATGCTACAATGAAAGAGAGTTACATTTAAATAAACTGATGAAAATGCCTTATGACAATCCCCAGGGTTCAACACTAACTTTTCAACTTACTAGCCAAGTGGCTGGTGACATCTTAGATGCTACGACAATGTCAGTTCGTTTACTAGCCAAACTGGCTAGTGGAAACCGAAAACCACTAGCCAAAACCGAATTTCTACTAGTCCGTGGCTAGTGGGCTACTGTTAGTGTCGAGCCCTGAATCCCAGTCTTCAAATAAAAATGTGTTGTTAGGGACAGTTTGCCTCTCCAGTCCCCCCCTTGTGCAGACCATGTGACTTCTGTGACCATGTGCTCAAAAAAATTTGTATTGTCCGCTGTTTGTGTGTAGGAAGGTTTGTTTCTTAGGTGTTGATGTTTGGTTTAGCCTGGAGATGGCCAAAAATACGCAAGTTGTCGCTTTGTGTGTTGTTCTTTTTTTTGTAATTCAATGTTTGTTTCAGTTTTGAGTTTCTAGCTTTCTGTTTTATAATTTACAGCTGTACTGACTGAGAAGTTCGCGTTGGAGATTAAACACCTTCAGTACAAAATATTTACTCTGTGATTATCTTCAACATGCATACCTTTAGCATTTCACTATCAACATTGTTTTAATTGTCTGAAAAGTCTCTAAATTTGACCTAAGTTGGATACCACCTACTTCCTTGATGTGCCTTGACATCTTGATCAGCAGTCCTGGTTTGCCTGTGCTGCATGTTAAACCACTCATCAAAGTCCTGTGAAGGCACAGCAGTCCTGTGGTCCCATGGTGGTCTCTCAACATCACCTTGGGTTTGTCCTAAATTAAAAAAATAAATGTGAAGAGTTACTGTCTAAAATATTTCTTCCTGAAATGAAAATTACTTTGAAATTGTGCAGTGCATGTCTTGAAGCAATGCACATAAGATAATTTTTCACAGAGACTCATCACTGCCTGTGAACAAGTGTTTCCTTGTTTTGACCCTGTACACCCTGTCATCAGTATGCATATTCTCCATACTGTTCTCTATATATTTCCTAGGGTGCTGACAAGGAGAATTCAATTAACAATCAAGAGCTTTGTCGTTGTTGATCATATCTATTATTCTCATGACCGTAATGGTTGATTCAGGGGTGATTCTGTATGGAGAAATTAGAAACTTGTCATTCGTAAGATTTAAAGGGTTCGAGGAGTTCCAAATAAATGTTACAGTACCTGTTCTTGCCGGTGGTCGCATGTTGTCCCTGTCCCCTGTTCCTGCACTCCTCATTGGCTTACTTCCACTCAGCCAAGGTCGTGGATAATCTCTTCCCATTGTTTTGGATGCACTGCTTGGTCGAGGTCGTGATCCATCTGCACGAGAGTCTAGACCAGCCCAAGATTTGGCTAACATGCCTCGATCTAAGAATAAATGAAGGTGATTTTTCTAGCTATTGAATAACCTTACACAGTTTGAAGAAATTTCATAAATTTCAGAGAAAAAGTTGGTGGAGAGGAGGAGCTGCAAGTTTACCAACCTTTGATATAGTATTGTTAATTTTGGCTTACCCTCGTCAAATGAATGCCGTAGAGCTGGTGACCCTGACAGACCCATAGATCTTGCAAAGGATATCTTTGATCCCGATGGGGGTAGTGAAGATCCATGGCCCTGTTTATAAAGAGACATTTCATCACATATATGTATCTGAGATGAAAAATGATATGTCTTCCTAGGACTTTACAAGAATAGCTTAATTTTCCCAGTGCACTTGAGTCTTCTCAATCTTTAGGGAAAATTGAGCTTTTACCATTCAAATTAATAGTTTTTGAATGAGATTTAACAAAAATTCTGTCTTGTTGTGAAAAGATCTGATATTCAATAAAGCCAAAGGTTGAGGAAGATGACTGATCTCTGAGACATTGTAAAATAATGAAGTTTAACCTGATACCTGAGCTCAATAACTGTTTTTTTTTTTTTTTTAATTATTGTATTACATAGGTTTGTGGATTAATCTGATAAATTTTCCATGGACATTTTCCAGTGTTACTATGGATGAGTAAAATTCTACTTGCAGTGAAACAAAGCTGAATGGTATTACCAACAAGAGCAAAATACTATAAGCAGTTAATTAAAGGTCTCTTGGTGGGATCTGGACCAAAACTAATATCATCACATCAGTATAAACTACCCCCAAAAAATCACCCCTACATAGTATATGTAGTAATTTTTTTAAAACAAACCAAGATGAAAATCACCTTAGACCCTTCAGAATACAACTTTTTCAAAACTTTTATCAGATAACCAACTGGATCTTCAGGTGTATCCTTGATGACTTTGGCCATAAGGTCCTAGAATAAGAGTTATAAAATATTGTCATACAACATTACAATATTTATCTACTTTGTGATATCAACATACTCAGTGAACTTATAGGCCCTACAGTGACTATTATTTTCATGATTTCAAGTTACAAAAGGTTACTTAGAAAATAGTTGAGCTTGGAATCAAAGGAACACCTCTTACCAGCTTCTAAAATAAACCTGCCCTATTTCTACTTATAAAAACTACCTCTTTTCAACCACATCAAGCAGATCCCCCTCTTCTGAACTTTAAAATTGATCTCAACGCCCCGCTGCGCCAACTTAGAGAATAATTACTGCTAATGTAAATTTGCAAAAATATGAATTTTTTTTAAGTGTAGCTAGCCAGGAAGACAAGGAAAAAAAAAACAAGAATAATAACTAAATATTTTCTTTGGATAATCCGGAAAAAAAATTATATTGAGACAAAATTTTTATTGATCACTTTTGTATAATACAACTATTATGCACGATGTGCTTTTTATCTGTTATATTACGGAACATTGTTGAGGCTGAATATTTGATTACTTATGCTTGGTTTTGAGTGCAATCACTTTATTTTCCACAAACCCTTGGAAAGAATGGAAGCAATTTGGGTCAGTTTTTCATTTATTCAATTCGAAGCTACAGTAATTATAATTTCAAAAGTTTGAGTTGAAACATATCGCGTCAAAATACACATCATTACCTCAAATAAAGCTCCTATGCGATGTCTTTCTAAGTACTCTTGAACTTGCTGCGCAGCCATGTTAAACTCCACTTTCACATACACGTAAACCACAAATATTTGTAGTAATGACTATTTGTTATTTTATAGTGTTTACCGCCATTTTCGATTTCCCAGGAAACGCCTCCCAGGGTTCTTTGCGCATACTCTATCATGACCGCAAAAGCTTGTGGGTGTCTTTTGGACTATTCATGTACGTTATTTGAATAGCCACTTGATTCGAAGGACCAGCAAGACTGGGGTAACTCCTCTACCAGAAGGGACTTGGGATGTTCTGTGCAAGGCGAGCCGTTCGAATATTTGGTCGCAGAGGGCGTTCTGTAGCTCTGCGGTCAAGTATTTGTGAGTTACACTCTCAGGCTCAGCGAAGAACAGTTTTGGTTTGGGCCACGAGGTAAGAAATGTCTTGATCTGCTATATAAGAAATTATTTCGACCGACCATGGACAGAATATGAAATGTACACTTTGTTTTTGATTATATTGTTCTTTTATTGCTTTGATGTGATGGAATTTAGCTACCGTGGTCTTTGGTGTTAGCTAAAGTAGAAGAAGGAAAAAAAAAAAAAGATTCTCTGATCTAACATATATCACAATTACAGGATAAATTCTCGAGCCGCTAATATTCTTTAGAGATCACCAGATCATGATCAGTCACTGCTTCTCTTTTAGACAGTTCCTATTACAATTTTATTTTTAGAGATGTATCACGCTTCCGACACGTGCTCTCCTCTAGTCTGCCCAAATGTGGTTTTCGCTGGTTCAGCTCAGAGGGTAAGCTTACGCAAAGATTAATTACCTGATAAAATCATGATCATGCACTGCGTTAAATTTGCATTTTATTACCGGTGTAATAAACAAACGGAAGAGTATGTGTTCTGTACCCCATTCCGTTTTGATCATACACATGACAACTTCCTTCGTGTCTATTAAAGAACTGATACAGCCTCAAGAAGAGAAGCTTTAGTTATGTTGTTTAACTTTGGCCAGCAGTTAAAAGTTCTTATAGACCTGTGTCTTTAGTACCCAGGCTATTAAGTAAGATGTGTGGGTCTTCTATCAGATCATAAGCGGAGGACTTTTTATGGGAAACTGGTTCAAGTGATAAAATTGTTAGATCCGAAAACCCTGCTTTATCCTAATTTAATGGTAATGAAATGTCCTGAAAAAAAAAAAAAAACCACACACATCCAGGAATGTATTTAACTGTTCCACTCTTGATTGCAGAAAATGATTCCCTACAGTAGGTGAATCCCCTCCCCCCTGATTCCAATTTAATGAGATAGAGATATTGAGAAAAATGCTTCATTCTTTTTTGTCAACTTTTCAACTCTTGATTCTGGAATATGATTCCTTAGGTAAACACTCCACATTCCGAAAAACCCTTCAAATAAGGTACAACAAACAATTATGACTGAAGAACTCAGTGGCCCTTGTTAAAAGTCCAGGTCTATGACCATGTTAAGCAGATATTTCTGTATTTTCTTCCCATTTGACACGCTTAGGTCTACCCCCTCACACAAAAGTAAAACTACCAGCCTTGTCACCTACAATGGAGATGGGAACCATTGTGAGCTGGGACAAGCAAGAAGGTGATGAACTTAGTGAAGGAGATCTGCTAGCTCAGATAGAAACAGACAAGGCTACAATGGAATTTGAAACCCCAGAGGAAGGCTTCCTTGCCAAGATTTTAATTCCTGCTGGTGCCAAAGATGTTCCTATTGGAAAACTTCTCTGTATAATTGTTGAAAAGAAAGAAGATGTTGCAGCATTGGAGTCTTTTGTACCTGATGAAACAGCAGCACCACCTGTGGTAAGTTTGTACAGTGGTTTCATATTTATCCATTCATTTCCCTCTATTTCTCCCCTATTCCCCCTCAGCTTCTTTCCTTCTCTCCAGTCTCCCGCCACTCTCCATAGAGTCTTTTCAAACAAAGTTACCGTAAGCTTTTCGCAGACTCCAAAGTATATGTGTTATTGATCAAGCCTGGGGTCAAGATGGCAAGGAGGCATCTTGACTGAGCAAGCTTGGTCAATAAAGAATTTAGTATAAATTATAGCAAAAAGATTTTGCTTTTATAAGAATCAAGACTTGGTCAATAAAGAATTTAGTATAAATTATAGCAAAAAGATTTTGCTTTTATAAGAATCAAGAATGACTTGTTTATTTCGAGAGCTATGAAAGAAAGTTAATTGTGTTTGTAGCACAATAAACCAAAGAGGGTCATTTAATTGTCTTTGTTTTGACTATTTACTACTGCTGTTTGTGACTTTGATGCTGACATTGTCCAAAAGTTATGAACTTTGTAAGTCTGCTCCATGCATTTTTTTCTTACTTGGATTAAAGTGGGCAGTCCTGAGCAGGCAAGATAGGCCCATCCTGCCCAAGGGATAACCTGAACCAGCTTTCCATCTCTAAATAAACTCCAGGGAAGTTTATATCGTTTAGAATTGCGTTTACTTACTTTTTTTTTTTTCCTGTAGGAAAAGCCTGCAGAACCAGCAGCTGCTGCTCCTCCCCCACCTCCAACTGCAGCCCCATCTCCCCTACCCCCACCCCCTCCTCAGCCTGTAACCCCTGCCTCACCCCCTCCCCCTCCAGCTGCACCTGGTGGTAGGGTATTTGCCAGTCCTCTGGCAAGAAAGATGGCGCAGGAGAAGGGCATAGAATTAAGTGTAAGTAATACCGAGAGATATGTCTATTAGACATTATGAGTGATGGATGACTGAGTATTTGATGTCACAAAACTGAAAACAATCTTCTCGTGAAAATCAATCTTAACAAACATTGGATATTTAGAGGAGGCATTGAGAACTCAACATGATAACAAGTTAATCATCTGCTTGGCTGAAATAGAAGATGGGGATATAACCTCTTTCCATATTTCATGTCAACCCCATAGTAGCATACCCACTAACTGGCACCCATTCCAAGCACTCATCAGCACTGACTGGATCAGAAATCAGAAAAAAGAGAGTACAGTGGGGGGGGAGGGAGGAAGCTGCTGAGACTTTGGAAAAACAACTGCTACCAAACTGCCAAAGAACTCCTACTGGAGTTGCATTGTTCTTCGAGGGCCTTGATGGCTGACCACAAGAGTTAATTAAGTGTGTGGAGGTTAACTTCGTTAAAATGTCACTCAACTAAATTATGCACCCCTAAGCATAGAAAAGAGATGAAAAATTTTCTGGTGATTGGTTTTAGTTAAACAATTGGTAGTTCAGAAGGTGACACAGATTTGCAGACAAAATTACATTTTTGTTAAGTTTACTTTGTGCTGATGATTCTTTTTTAACATTCAGTCTCTTCAGGGAAGTGGCCCTGGTGGACGTGTGATAGCACAAGATGTGACTAGTGCAACACCTGTAGTTGAAGCTGCTCCGCCTACACCGGTTCATGTACCAGGTATTTTTAAGGTGGAATTGCAATTATGATTAGATGGCTGTTGTCCAGTGCCAAATGATAAAACAGCCCTTTGCAAAGTTGCCCAGGTTAATTTTGGGTTTTCATTAATCAAGGAAGATGGTAGATTTTCACCTCTTACAAATGTCTGTCTAATGAAGAAAACAGTTATATATTTTGTCACCAGTGGGAGACAATGAAAAGTATCCGAGTCCCCCCACCCCACCCTCTACAGAGATTCACATCTCACATCTTCAGATGATTGTGAAAGCAGAAGCTTTGTAGTACAAACCCTCAGGGGTTAAGAGGAGATCAGATTTCTTCATTTTCTTTCATTTGTCTCTTTTGGTTCAATCAAGCAAACTCATTAAATTTGAAAGGGAAAAATAAATTTTGGTGGAAATTATTTTATTTTGCCTTTTTGGTACCAAAATGGTTATTTGGATTCAGATCAGTTCAAGAAAAAGATTAGTATGAAACAGACTAGTTCATACTCTTACAGAAATTAACAGTGACAGAAGACTTGCCTTCGGGTCTTACACTTACTGTTATTGGCTTGCTTCCAAACATATGAGGCCTGGGCTATAATTTTTAGGAAGTTGACCCAGAAAGCATTGCAATCACTGTGTGGATGGTATGTTTATTCATCATTTGTTTATGTGTTCTTTGTGCATTTCAGGTGCAGATTTTACCGATATTCCTCTATCAAATGTTAGAAAAGTAAGTTTAATATAATCAAGATTCTCCTTTGGAGGTCAGATTATCAGATTCTTAATTTTGGTTTATTGCATGACCGTGTTTTTACAGGTTATTGCTAGACGACTTCTTGAATCAAAGCAGACAATTCCACATTATTACCTGTCAGTGGACATCAGATTGGACGATTTGCTCAAGTGAGTGTAATAAGTTAAACATGAATATTAAATTGATAAAAAAAGATGTAATAATGATTTCATCCTTATTCAAATCCCTGTTGTCACCTTTGGTGAAAAGGCTAGTGAGTGATTTACTCTTGCACAGTATCTCATTGTTTCATACCCATAGTGGTTTTGTACCCGACTTTGAGTCGATTCATACCTAAGTTTGAATTGGTTCATACCCAAACTGCTAATGGATTCATACATATAATTTTATGTAATAACTGGTACTCTTGTGTCAGCACAAAACAGCTCAACTGACTGGGTATGAAATGACTGGTAACCCCTTGATCTCCTCAGATGCAATTATCAATTCTCCATAGTTCCTTACAATTGTATCAGTATTATTGATGATTTATGAAACAATTCACCTTATTTGATGTTCTTCTCACTTCTCATTACCTCTCTGAGGGAAATTGTACCGATGGAATAAGATACAAGGTGTTTTTAGTAAGCAGCGTAGATTTGAAAATAGTCCATTTTACAGTTATGTGCTTGGTTGCCAAGCCTTTGAATGGGAGTGAGGCTAGAGATGACCTTGTTA